CTAAAAGGTTGAACAGGAACGGGGAGCGGGAAAAGTAGCGGGGCGCTGCTGCTGTGTGTTGTGCGATCGATGCAAGTTAAAGGGGTAAGAGAACAGGATTAAATACGCAATTTATTATCTATTTTTCATCTTTTCCTCTAGAATATATTCTATAGATGATAAAGATGATCGGTGAAATATCTTGCATACATTAAAAATAATGTATTTTTTTTGCGCGCGGATAAGAATAATCGATAAAAAATAAAGCTTATCACTATAAGTATACAATATAAGAACGAAACGGAATAGAATGCGATTATTTGGATTTATTCAAGTTGCATAACACTAATATGATACGATAAAAACATATGTGTAAGAAAATTGAGGAACGCACACGTACATGAAGAGTTCTCAAATGTGAACGTGAAACAATAATACATATGTACATATGTATGTACGTATAATAAGATCCGTTGAAATACGGAATTAGATGATTCGTTGGAGTTTAGTGCTCATCGAAAATTTCGCAATGATAAAGCACGTGATTCTTTGATATTACGTCAAATGTAATTATTACTTACTCGAGGATGATCATTTCAATGAATTTTAACAAAAGGAAGAGACATTTCAACGAGCAAGTACTTAGTTACGTTAATAATAGCCTAGGAAGATCTATCTCTTTCTTATTTTTACCGGCATACATTTGATGATTGAATAAATAACAATTATCGTATTATGGTATAGAGTGTTCGTTACACAGAGAAATCAATAACGATCGAATTTGAAACATAAGTCACTTTGTAAATAGACCAACCTTAATTATCTATGTGTGTGTAAAGAAAATATTGAAAGAAACATAGCGAATGTTTTCAATTTAATCTCATGATATCACATTATTTCGAATAAAAGTACGTACACATGAGTGTATTTTTAACTTAAAAAAAATAAAGAAATAAATAAATAAAAATAAAAATAAATGAGATTCGGATTAGCAAAAAATGGTTTCACAGAAACAAACACACACACATATATATATATATGTCTATACACATCAGAGAAACGAGTTCTATTCTTCTAGATGTTCATTCGTTTTCTCGGAATCGAATAAACTCTTACTCTACGACGCCAACTTAAATACAAGCCTTTATGACGCACTCAACCGGCGACTAATGTTTTTATTATGTAATGTCATCCGAAATCATTCGGTATAGAAAAAAACGATAGGTGTGAGAGATGTAAAAATTGTAAAAATTAGTTAAATACTAAAGATCGATCAGTCATATCATAGTTTCATATATCGAAATTTTTTCACTAACAATGTAACGATTATCGTAATTGGTTGCATGAAAATTTGAATGATTTTTTAAAAAATCAATAACAATTTTATATATGTAAAAATATAAAATATGTTTTGATCGTCATAGCTGAAAATAGTAATTATCTGAAAATGGAAAATTTATCAATACCAGATAGAGTTAAATGGCCAGTCAAATGGTCGTACGGTGTTTTTCAGCAGTCGGTATATATCACTAGAACGAGAAAGTAGCTGCATCGATCTTTACCGAAAAGTACGGCGTACGTGAGAGAGAAGAAAAACATAAGAGCACGAATTATTTTCTCGATGAAACGAGTTTGATCTTAGCCATTGCAAGGACGAACAATATGTATTAATGTGTACGTAACAGAAACGTACGACGAAATGTGTTTGTAATTATTAGTAGGGATGAAAGAAAGTTCTGTAGTTTTTTTTTTTTTTGCTTACAACCTACATTTATAAATATAAATCACGAATGAGTAAAGGAGACAATGGATCAAAGATATTTTTTAAGTATCACTTTAATAACGAGTATGTGCATTAATTAAAGAAATGGAAAAGAATAAACTGGAAAGAGCATCGAACGATCTCGTGGTTTTGTAGCTTGTGAGATTAAAGAGCGATAAGCTGCGGCTGATGTCACGAAATGCCGGTCGTGTTCGTCTCGCGATCATCGTTACGAGAAAGAAAGAAAGAGACAGAGGAGACGAGACGAGAGGAGAGGAGAGGAGAGGAGAGAGAAAGAGAACACAGAGAGAGAGAGAGAGAGAGAGAGAGAGAGAGAGAGAGAGAGAGAGAGAGAGAAGCCGGTTGTCGTATGAGGAGAAACGATAATGAGATGATTAAATGCTTTGGTTATAAAGTGTGAAAAAGGACGTTTCTTTTCGAACGAAAGTAGCAACCCTCTTCGATTAGGGACGCTTATACCATAATCGCGTTTTCTGTCATCGATTTGTCGTTGAACGTAAAGAAAAGTAGTTAAGTAATCGTTGAGAAATTCTTATTTGAGAAACATTATATTCAGAGAAAGCAGGTAGAGCGGCTGTCTAATCGGATCCGAGGGTAAGTAAATGGGTATATATACCTAGGACGAAATAATGAATGTGTGAGTAAAACAAAAGAAAAGGAAGACAATGACGGAAGAAGATACAGAGAAAAGGGGCGAGGCAAGGACGAACAGAACGGGTCGAAATGTCTACTAACCGAGAAATTTGTCGAAGATCACCAAGTTGTCTGTTTTTAGCGTTATTACTGGTGAACCATATCTCGAGGAGCTTCTCTACGCCTTCGAAAAATTGCACGCTGTCCGCGTTGTCGTCCTTTGTCGATGCCATCGTTCGTCGGCTCGCTCTTCGACGCGACGAACACCACGATTCTAATGCGTGCACGTTTATTCAAATCGTTGAATATCCCCTTTACTTTATTCAATTTTATCTCCTTTGAAGTGGCGTTTTTTATTGGTCTCTTTTAGCGGTATAGAGATTCGTCGTACGAAACAAGCACTCTCTACCACGTATCTTGCTTCACTGAACGGTCGGAATAGGCCGGAGCAGTCGAGCGACGCGTTTAGAACTGTATTGGTGCTTATCTACTCTCCCTCCTCATCTAACCGTGGATTCGTCTTCTCTCTCTAACCAATAACACGTATATACACATAATGCCTTCTATCTTCGGTATGGAAAACTAAATTGGACCAATGAAAAAGACGCTTTAATACGCATGCGCATTCAAGCAATGGATATGCCTTTAATTATAACAATCATCTATAAATTGCCTTTTTGACGTTCTCTTTCGTGTTTATTATTTTACGAAAAAGCTACAAATACGTATAATGAAAGTTAACATATCTCTGATAACTCATCTCAAAGGCAATCACTTTTTTTCTAGTTATTTGTTATAACTTTTCAAGAAATCTTTTTTGCGAAGAACATTTATTACGATTATATTATGCAAGTTATCGATTGTCATATTCTTTTCTACGTTTTCCTTGATACGTCGTTAAGAAGTTTACAAATTTGCCGCAAAAGAATATTCTTTAAAAAGCGCATGCGTTCATATTCTGGCGCCATTAATTGTAAACCATACGGGCAATATTCATTTCATATTTAAGGCTGTTCATCATCTTTCGCTCGTAACGTGTGTGACTTCACCAACGAATAAAATAGGAACTACAAATGCAAGCGGGGAATACTGTTCCCACCAATGCGTCTATCGTATAAGTGTATAAGCTTATGTTGATTATATATCTCTCATATTATATATACTCTCATGCATATATAATAATCGGTTTCGTGTAGATTAAAGTAAGTAGTGTTAATAGGCTACAAACTCACATTTTTTAATCTCCTATATGTATATCTTTTTTTGATAGATTATTTTTGAAAAATAATCGGAAAATGTATATTCTTTATATGCATTTGTCATCAAATTAAATTGTACTGCTGCTGTGTCACAGATCACCGCGAAAATCACATCAGCCATCAGTGAAGAAAATAAATATAAAAGATTGGATAGTAATACCTTACTAAATTATCAAAGAAGGAAAAAAAGAATAAATTAGTTGATTATTTTTGATTACATCGATAAAATAAAAAAGAATCACCTTTACGATTCCTTCACATAATATTACAAGAACTTAGGATTCCTGAATTACAAATCTAAATGCTTGCTAATGTTTAACACATTGCTTATAGAATCTCTATGTTTCTAATTTATAAAATATAAAAGGGACTACAAATTTTTCTAAAATTTAAGAATATTTTTGGAACTTGAATTCATTAAACCGTTTATTGGAGACGTATCTCCTTATTTTTGCCATAGAATTATTTACCTGAAGCTTATTAAAGTAATTGTGTGAGTTATTGTAGCTTTTTTGTACGAATATCGTAAAACGCATTTCTTTGGATTTGGAATGGTCAGAAAATCTGAGCATAAGCTATTTACGTACACAAACAAGCAGGCAATTGCTATTTCATGGAACAAACATACACACATTCAAGAAAATCAGTAGTGGAGAACGAACATCTTCCCTTTGCCGCAAATTTTGAGAGGCGCCACGGTACAAAATCTTTTTTTCGCAAAAATTATCGAAAACACAGCATTTATTCCAATGATGAGAACAGGCGTAATTCTTGACCAATTTTGATAAAGAAAGTTTCTTTTTAAAGACGAAGGTTTAATCTACGACCTTAGTTTTACGATTTTCTTGGAAAACCTTGTTATTTGTGAATAAATTATTCTCCAAAAAAAATCAGGCCCTGTCTCATATAATTACGCCTATTTTCATCGTTAACTTAAACCATTATAAAACCAGGGATGAACAGCCTTAAAGGCAGTTCCTGTTACAGAAATATAAAACATATTACCATCTTTTGACAATAGTATTTATTATTTTCACTTTCATATTGATAAAAAAATAAAACAGAATTATTATTATATATGACATTACTAACTACGATTTTCTAAGTAATGATGTCAATATCGTATGTTAAAATTTATAAATTATTTCGCTATCACATACGTGTGCACCTTAAAATATTATATACAATTATTTTGTCAAATTTATAATTAAATAAATTAGTAGCAAAATTTTTTTCTGATAAACAACTGGTTTAAGAGGAAAGAAAGATAAGTCTATTAGATTCCACAAATATAAAAATCTGTATAAATGTACAAAAAGGGATATATAGAATATGTACAGGAAATATAAATCATAATTTATATATTTGTTTATCTCCAAACGAATTAATAATGGCAATATTCTTTCAATAAAAAATCACTTTCATTTTTAGCATAGTAGATAGTCAATCAATATATTTACATACTTGTTCATACGGAAGTGTTCTAACAAGTTTTCTTTCTAACTGAACATCGATAGTATATTCTTCTATGTGTAACTTTTTCACTATTCCTTTTTCTCCTTTGTACTTCCCCCAAAGTATTAGAACTTCTTTACCAATAGCAGGTATTACTGTTTCTAAATATTCTTGATCTAATTTTATCAAATGACCTTCAATTTCTTCCGGTGTAGTAAGTTTAACTTTGGCAACAAATCCAGAGTTTTCCACCGACTTAACAATACCTTTTGCTTTATAATATTTATCACCCAGACTTTTGGTAATTACTTTTACTATCAATTTTTCCCTAAGCCAACCTCCTTCGCTTCTATTGTGTTTCTCTGAATTCGAATTGCTACCATTTTTCTTTAATTCCAACTTAATAAACGGTTGGATCTTTTGTGTTTCTTCTGTGAAAGAAGTACACTCAATAGAAATCTCACTTTGCTTTGAGGTAGATGAACTAATTACAGGAACTGGTTTAGATTTTGGTTTCAATTTTATATCTAAAACCAAAGGTGTAGTATCATCTGGACGTATTAATGGTTCTTTAATTGTTTCTTCTGTTTCTTCCTTGATTGACATTTGTTGCTGACCCTTTTCGATTTGTTTTTCTATAAATTTCATTAATTGTTCTTGATCATCTCTATCCATTTTCTGTTTTTTTACTTTCTTTTCTTGAGCAGCTAATGTTTCTGGATCTCTATCAATATAAGTTATATACCAACCTAAAAATTAAGAAGAATAATGTTATAGCATATAATATTTATTAACTAAAATAAAATATTGATTTTCTATATGATTTATTAAAAATTCTTTACCTTTCTCTGTTTCATCGACAACACACTTGCCTGTACGACCTAACCATTTAACAAATTCTGTTAATGTAAGCCACATAGTTGCATTCATATGTACATGACCTCTATCTGAGATATATTCTTGATAAACCCGATTTGCTGGAACTCGTCTGGTACCAAATTGTCTTTTTAATAAATTTAAATATCCTTCAGAAAATTCACGTGAAAATTGATCCATGTAACGACTTGCATTATCGGCAAAAAGTAACAATTGTCGATGATGCGATTCGGACATTGTATGACATTTAAATCCATTTTCATCTCGACATTGTTTTTGACACATTTGACAATACCATCGTAATTTTTGTAAACCTTTAGCTTTGATTTTATTTGCAATATATTTTGGTGTTCCCACTTCGTGTTTACCCATTTTTATGATCGGTGATCGAAGTTAATTATATACTATTATATACTATCTTTACTTTTCAATATTCTATAAGTTATAAGTAATATTTAATAAAAGTTATAATACTTATACTAAATACACTATCTTTATATGACTTCTTTGCCGCCATATTGTTTTCTCAATGTACTTATTATGACGCGTCTTCAATTGTGACCAATAGGAAAATGTATATAAAGAACGTTCTGATTGGTGCGATGTAAATTGATCAGTTTTAATTACAAAAATTATGAATAAAACCAAAAGTTTTTCGTGAAGTAATAAACCTAATTCTTATAACTTTATTAATTTTAAATATAAAAAAAATATAATAGCTCTATCAATATTAATAATATATTTTCTTTTATATTTAAGTTATACAAACATACATTTATTTATATAAAAGCAAATATAAGAATGTGTATACATGTTGTGTGTGCGCGTGTGTGTGTGTGTGTGTGTATAATATATATAAATCGAATAAATAAAAATTGATATACAGATACGTAAACAATTTATGAGCATTTGTACTTCAACATCCGAATTCTACTTTAATTTTTACATTTGCTTGATAGTTCTTCGAAGGTATTTCATATTTGATCATATCATCCATACTTCTGCAATCACGTAGTTTTCCTGCTTCATTTCTGTAATTATATCACAAATATTATATCTATTATACTTTAATGTATGTAATTAAATCTATAAAAACCTGCAAAGTATTGTAATCAAATTAGGATTTTGATGATCATCGTGACACCATTGCTGCCAATACTGATATAATTCTAATGGGTCTATTTCATTCAAATATTCATGACAATTATCTCTCAAACTAAAAATTATGTAATGAGAATTATTAGATATAAGACTTATATTTATATTCAGAAAAGTATTTACTGTGCCTCCCATAAACCATCACCCGAAGATGTTACTAATGTAGAACCGGGAACATGATCGCAAATAAATCTTTTGCCATTAATTTCTCGTAAACTGTAGCTACAACACATGTGTGTATGTACGTATATATAAATTATATTAATATATATATTAAAGTACTAAAAAGAATATCAAAATAATTATGAACTTAATCTGGCATATATTCTCTTCTAATTATATACTGTTAATTACATACTGTTTAAAACCAAAATTACAAATATTTCTCAAAAGAATAACAGCTTCTGTATCATTTAACCAAGTATCCAAAGATTCATGTATTTCTAATAACGTATCGTTTATCTAGAATTTTTATATAAAAATATATCAATTATATATTTATAATAGAAAAATAATAACACATTCAATAAAAATTATAAAATACATATTTGCGCTAACTTGATTTGCTATAGCAATGCACATTCCACATTTCACACAAGCTGAAGAGAAATGAACTATTAAACTATTTTCAGAAGGAACTTGAATATATGGAATTTTTTGTACTATTCCCACTGTATCGCAATTATAGTAAGGATTTATAAACGTAGCATTAGAATTTAAAAAAAGTTCATGTAATACTTTTTTTTCACAAACATCTTCATCTTTCTTTAATTTATGCATACGATGTCTGCCAAAACTTGATGTGTCAGATAATAATAAAAAGAAAATTATTATTAAAATCATTTTGTTACTTTTAAGCTTTACAATATTGAAATTGTTAAAAGTATGGTATGTTATTGGTGTTTATTAATCATAAATAGACATATTCAAGACTCTACAACTCATGTAACAAAAACATGATACAAATAGTTACATCTAGTTATCTGGACTTTTAATTGGTCATTTTCATTTTCTAAGTTATATGTATAATTTACAAAAGGCTTATTCTGTAAGTTTGTTCTGTAAATTTAAACATAATTTTAAACAACTGCTTATTTATTATTTCTTTATCTATTTGAAATTATTAATGAAATGATACAAATAAAATAAAATTATTTATTAAATAGTAATACATGTTATAAATATAAATTTTTAAATATAAGATTCATAAATATAATAATTTACTTTTATATTATATTACAAAACTGTTTTTTATTTTATACATTTTTTGTTATTTATACCTATGCTTTTCATTGAAACAGTATGTTTATTATTATATTTTTGTATAAGTTCATGACCTAGACTTTGTACTGTATTTCTCCTCTTTTTTTCCTCTTCAGTATAAGAATGACCTATGCAAGATAATTGTAAGTAAATATACATGTATAAGTAATCTATTTTAACTTTTCAATATAATTATACTTCTGTATATTGGTATGTTTCCAGTCTTTAATTTGTACTCAAAATTTCTAATTTCTTTTTCACACCTAGCAAGAGAAGTACCATGGAAAATTGATGAAAATTGCTTTTCTAATGTATAATGCTCACAAAAGGTTAATTTTTTTGGCTTGTAAAATTCATATTTTAAACATTTTAACATCTTCTCAATTAAAGTTAAATTATTTTGATCAATTCGTGTGATTACACCTGGTCTAATTTTTGTTCTTAGCAAATGATGTAGCTATGTAATATTCAAGTAAAGATATTTAATAATTGTAACATAAGCATTGTTTAAATAATAAATTATTTTTTAGTAATATATTTATATTTTTTAAGATACCTTAAAAAGTATAAATAAAACCCATAGTAATGATTCCCGTTCCAGGACATTTCTGGTATAATTAATTTCATTTTGTTTGAATCTGTGAATACAATTATGAATTAAATAGTAATATGATTTATAAAAAATTATTACAAACTTTTGCATGATTTCTATAATCTCTTCATTCCTTGCATATATATTATTTAACCATCTCAATCTTTCATAGAAGTTTACACAAGTTTTTCTAATCCAATAACCTCGCCACAATGCTTGGATTCGTGTTGCCATGCAATTATAATAATCTTCCCACATTCGGTGTACTTTGTTTATTAAAACTTTATCAAAATTATTTCTTACGTAATACCCACGCCAATTAGACTGAATGATTATTGCTTCTTTATGAAGCATAAATAAATGTTTTCTTGTTATAATGCCACGAAACCAAGCCTATTATATGATAAAATATCAACAAGAATTGAAAAAATTATATTACATTTTTTTAACATATATTTTGTTCAATAAGTTTTTAACTTTCTAAGAAATGGAAGTCCTATTTGTTTACAAAAGTAACTTACAAATTATAGTATATATATATCTATATAAATAATTATATTTTATATTCGGCAACCTGAATTTTACGTGCAGCTATAAAATGTTCACGTTTTAACGATTCTGCAAAATCACTTCTTCTACTGATTTCATTTTGAAGCTCGTTAATTTTTATGTGAAATCTCAACCCAGACGCCATTTTATCAACGATAAACAAAATGTAGTGACATCTAGCAAATATTTTATACAGAGTAAATTTTGTGTAAATTGAGAATCATAGTAATAACTTATTCAGACATAGACATAGATTTTAATGTAGTAAATAATGATATTATAAAATTTATAAAAGTAAAGTGAATAAATTGTATATATCATACTTTAAATTTGTATGTATTTTGACATTTTTAACGGAAAATCATTAAAATGATAATACCTATTAAACGGTAACAATCATTATATTTATATTATAAATACATATATATAACTATAATAATGCAATTAAAAAGTAACAAGCTTAAATTTCCTCAGTGATCAAGATGTACAAGAGTGGGCTATAGTGGAATTAAAAGGTGAATTATCGTTTGGTACAAAAGATATTACAAATAGTCATTACATTGGTGATTTTCATTTTACAAAATCTGGAACACCAATGCTTATAATTGGTATTCATGTAATGTATGGGAAAGAGATGGCTCTTACAAAACCTATTGCAGTTTTAAAAAAAAAAGTTGTTTCTTCAACTAATCAGTCAAAAGAAGAAGATTGTAAAACTGAATATACTATTCAAGCAATTGTAAATAAGAAAATTGTTTTTAAATTTAGACCCAAGCCTATTGTAAATAGCATAGAAGTATAAAAGAATGCTTTGAAAATGGTCATGTTTAAAAAAAATGTTTAGGACATTAAATTATTTTGTATTTACATATTTTATAAAAATATCGTTTTTACATGGCCTATTAACTCATTATACTTAACATCATTCTATAAGGTTGTACAGACTTATATTTATTTATTTTATAATTTAAACAAGCAATTAAAAATACAAAAATCTTATAAATGTAAATTTAATCTTTCATTTCTCCTTCTTCGTCTTCTTCTTCTACACCACGTATGTACATAACATTGTTACATCGTATCAGTACTTCTCCAAGATTACCAGTACAATTTCCATCTATGTGTTCTTCTGTATTTGCAAGTTGTAAATTCATATAACCATCTACTGACACAAGGTAACCTTTATATTCGTGACCCCACTTTAGTTTTACCATTACAGGTTTTCCAGTTAAACCATTTAAAAATGGTTTTGGATTTATTGGCATTGTTGCAGCCATGATGATAATCGAATATTACCTAAATAAGAAAAATTATATTAATCAATATCTAAGTTATATTAATTAATGTCTAATCTAATTAAATTTGTCTCTCTCATTTTTATTTAAGCAAGTACTAAATCGGCTTAGGTTATATTTTGCTAATAAATATAAAATTTTTAAATTGTCAATTTTATTAGAATTATATATGTAAACAAACCTTCTAAAAAGTAATATAAAAGAAATATTTAAGTTTCACGGTCGAATACCAGGCATATGAATATAATTTAACGATAGAGTGTTACCAACGCAACTACCAAGATTGCCAACAGAAAAATAAGAAATTTTATTTGCTAATTTCAGAATACACTGAAAGTATCTGTCATAGACATTTGTTCTTTTTTATATATTGATAAAGTATATTTATTACGATTATAATATAATACATTTTGTTTAATTATAATTACGGTATTAAAATATCTTTGGTGCTTTGAATAATAATTGTTAATTAGTAAAATAAAGAAAAATACTATCCGAAGTATTTGTATAATATTATGTTATAGAATTGAATAGTGTTTATTTCTTTGAAGAAACAGATTTTTAACAAAAATGAATATTTTACCTAAAAAAAGGTAAGGTCTTACCTTTTTATATTATATGTATTTATGAATGGAAATAGTTTAAATTCTTAACATTTAGCAGAAAATATTAGAGGTTATATTTCTATTTTAGATGGCATGTTCGAACGAAAGAAAATATAGCTCGTGTAAGACGAGATGAAGCAAAAGCTGCAGAAGAAGAACGAGTTAAACAAGAACGTATTCAAAAAGCAGTAAGTAGTAAAGCAATAAAAGTACATATTTTAGTATAGCTGCGTTTTTTTATCATGTATATCATATTATAATCTTTGTTAGGAAACCGAAGCACGTATTGACTTTCTAAGGCAGCAAGCAAGAACTAAGTATGATGGGCGGGCTGATACATCTAACATTACAGCAGAAATATCTACTGGTTCTTCAGAACATGTTAATTTTTTTTCTGATCTTGAGAAAGGTAAAATTGATTATAATAAACCTAATGTAGATCATGAAAAAGAAAAAAAGGAGGAAAAAGAAAAATATGAGAAACAAATTGGTTATCTTACATATCTTGGACAAGATACGAATGAAGCATTAGGGAAAAAGAACTGGTATGAAGAATTACCTAAAAGATTAACAGATAAAGATAAAGATATTGAAGTAGAAATAAAAAAGAAGGTTTTACATGATCCTATACAAGATATGAAGAAATACTTAAGCATAATGGGCAGTGTTTGTTCAGAAAAACATGTGAAGACTGAAATAACAAGTGTTAAAAGACGGCATTATGATTTAGATGATTCTGATAATGAAATGGAGAAAAGGAGTTCTGGAAAGAAAAATAAAAAACATAAGAAGAAATATAAAAAGCAAAAGAGAGAAAAAAATGATACTTTTGATGAATCTTCAGAAAAATCTAAAATTACAACAAATATAGAAAAATTAAGAGCCGAAAGATTATTAAGAGAGCAGAAGGAGAAATTAAGAGCAGAAGTATTGGTTGCTAAGTTGAGGGGAGATCCTTTGCCTATTAGTTTATCTGAGGAAATACCTAAACCTTCTGTTAAACAAAAGTATAACTCACAGTTTTTCCCAGAAATTGCTAGACAAAATGCAGAAAGAACACCTCGTAACTAAGTTTATATATATTATATATGTATATATTTTTTATATTTATGTTATGTGTATATATATTCTTTATATGTATATATATATATATATATATATATACATACATATTTACTTTATATATATATATGTATATATATTTATTAGTTATTCAATATTTATTCTATATTCTCTATTTATATCGTGATAGAGTAAAAATAGAATAAAAGTAATGCATCTACATATATTTTTTGGGTAAAATGTTGTATAATTAAAAACAAATATCACGTAATAGTGGAAACTTTATGTAAAATTCTATTAAAATTAAAAAAAATAAAATTTTACGCTAGCATATTGTCAATTTAATTCTGCCTGTGGTAAATTTGGGTAAAGTAGTACACAGTCACGTGATGCATCATGGCGGGCTACCAGAGAACTCATAGATAATGCTCTCGTATTTGACGTTTATGTCATTTTTTCCGTTAATCTTGGATATTATTTATATTGAACTTTATTTTCGGTAAGCAAAATCAATTATTTTATAATATAAATATAAAAAATTTAGGATATTTAATAAGTTTTCTTACAATATTAATCTCGAAGCAGACGCTTAGAGTGCGCGGACTATCTGACGAGATGTGGTTTTCGAATTTGAACGTTTGTTATCCAGTTTGTTTTAATCGGATGAAAAATAATGATGTATTCATGTTTATTAAAATAAAATAAATATGATCTTTTTGTTGAATTTTTCTTTAAAGTCTAGTAAACTATATTGGTAATAACTTAATAAGATAACCTCATTCCAATCGAGTGAAATGCTGTTTATTCGAGTTATTTTTTATTTTTTGTCCTGATATTGTATTATAATATATGATATATGCTCTGACTATACTTTGTACAAGTATCATTATTTTGTTTATGATCTGTAAATATATTTTTATTTAGTGATTAACCAACAATATGATTATATTTATACATATTAATTATACCTTAATACATTACTTATATGTAGGTATCTGATATATTATTTATTTTTGCTTATTATAGCCAAAATGAAGTTACACCTTTAAATATTGAATTTATATCTTCATTATGAATAAAAATATGAATGCTGAAAACTTATCATATTTAAGCTATGAGATAAATGGTACTCGATTTATTGTACAAACTCTATCTAATTCAATGGATATAACAAAGGTTGAAGGTACTAACGATGAACAAGGTACAGCGAATATAAATGATGAAATGTCATTTGGCAAAGAGGAAGAACCAATTTCTTTGATTTCTGTAGATGGCCAAATTTATGCATTTCAAAATGGAGACTTTCAAGAGCTTAATCTCAGTCATGTTGATGGTCAGATTGAATTATCAGATAAAGCAGTCTTGTTATCAAGAGATATAGAAAATGAAGAAACACAGTTCATTACCAATGGAGCTATAATAATAGAGAATATCGATGATGACAATCAGGAACGTTATGAAATAGTTACCGAACAAAATGATAACAATTTTGTTATGCAGAAGAATGATGTAAATGCAAATGATTTTGTAGAAGTAGTAACAGCATTTAAGTGTAAGATATGTACTTACACAACACAAGATAGAGGAGAATTGATAGAACATTTTCAAAAAACGCACATTAATCCAACAATAGATATAAAGGTGAACCATTTCATTAATTTATATTTAGATATATAAAAAATACGTTATAAAGTATAGTTGATTTTAAAATAAATAAATAAATACTATTACTGTTTTATAATATTTTTACAGGAAAAAGAAGAGTCTGTAAATGTTGATGAAGTAAAACTAGTTTACATGTGTGGAGAGTGCTCTAATTGTTTTCCTTCTTTAGAAGATTGCAAAGAACACATGATAAATGTAAGTATTTAAAATATAATATTTTTTAACAAAGCTCATGTCATGTCTTAAATAATTCATTTTATCAGGATCATCAACTAACTAATACAGCTCCTGAAAAAGCAGTTAGGGAATACATGACGAATGAACTGAGAGATCCTAAACTACATATGGAGCAGATAAAAAATAATTGTAAAAATAATCAATTAAAACAAGAAGTAAAAGATACTAAATCTTTGAATTCCGAGTGCATACTTAACAAAAAAGCAATTGAATTGGCTGAAACAAATGTAAGGTATGTGTTTGATTTTCATTGATATTTAAATTGTATGCATATGCATATTCCCTTATATCCATGTACATTGAGGACAATGTTTTTCTTTTCTTCTTAGATGTACATATCGTGGATGTCCTTATAAGTTTGCTACAGAGGAGATAATGCAACAACATGTTGCTTTTCATACGGAATCTCAAAGTGTGTCAGCATTTAAATGTAGTATTTGTAGAGATTTAAAATTTACAAAATGGAGACAGTGTAGTTTGCATCTCTGGAAGAAACATGAAATTGGTTAGTTTACATTAAGAATGTTATTTGTTGTTATTTTCATATCTCACTTTATTTTAATCATTTCTGTTTCAGACGTAGGTCTTTTTACATGTAAAATATGTAAAGCATACAAAAGTGCTACAATGGTGAAATTGTTAACTCATATGAAGGTTCATAGTGAAACGCGAGATTATGAATGTTCAGAGTGTGGTAAATGCTTTAAACAAGCAAGTCAACTACGTAATCACCGAGTAATGCATTTAGATCGAAAGACTTTAGAAGTAAAACGTTGGTATACATCAAAAAAATGTGATATGTGTGGAAAAACTTATGCAAATTCCAAATGCCTCAAAAGTCATATACAAGCAGTTCATTCAAAGCTGCGTCCTTATGTGTGCAATGTTTGTGGTCATTCTAGTGCTAGAAAAGCTATGCTGCAGATGCATTTGCGACAGCACACAGGTGATAAACCTTTTAGTTGTGAACTCTGTGAATATAGAACTGGTGATCACAATACATTAAGACGTCACATTATGCAACACACAGGTATCTCTCTTAAAAATTAATATTAAGGCTAACTTAAAACACATAGTATTTTTTAATATTAACTAATATTATCATATATTGAATATATTTCATAGGCTTTAGACCATACAAGTGTCCTCACTGTTCATATACAGCGATTCAAAGTAGCAGTTATAAAAATCACTTGAAATCAAGACATCCTCTATTATCCGGTTTATTCACATGTGATTCTTGTTCTTTTAAAACAGTTAAAAAAGAAAGTTATATACAACACGTTCATGATCATGAAAAGGGTTTGATTAAAGCGAATATTCAAAAGAAAGGTACTTATTTTTTATTTCTATTGGACATATTTTCTTATCAAATATCTGTATTAATTCAATTTTTTAATTTATAGACGATGAAAATGTCGAAGTATTTCCTGGTAATATTGCAGCAGCCCAACTGATTTACAGTTGTTTAGGTGCCTTTTCGAAAGTTGGAGATACATTAGAAGCTAATTTAATGTCTTCTTCGACATCTGCTGATGGTACATCACAAACGATCACAATTCAGATACCATCGAAACATCTTGAAAATTCATTGTCATCAAGAGAAAATATTAAAAGTAGCTCTGCGATAGAGCAAGAAGATGAAGAAACGATGCACTGTTTTCTAAAACTACCAAGAGAAGAAGAGGAAAATATTGATACTGGTGGTATAACGATACCAGCAGAGCCTGAAATCTCTACTTCTGCAACAATTGATATCGATTAATAAAAGAGTATATATATATATATACATATATATATATATATATATATATATATATATATATATATATATATGTATGTATATATAGTAATAAGAAAGAATAAAATCTTTGTGTATTATAAGTTATACAGATGCTATAGTAGTGAATGAACGAAGGAATACTAGTCATACGTTACTTAGTAATAATTATATTTGTTTTTATTACATTTATAGAATAGTTTATTAATATAGAAAATAACCTAATGTGATACTATTTTTGGAAACATATATTTGTTCCGAATTCATAGCATGCTAGTACTTGTGTTATATACAATTCCATATAAATCATTTATAAAAATTCATTCATTTATCATCACAGTTATAGTTTATTAGATTTGATTTATGAGATTTGACAATTAAATTTTATAATGAAATTCTTGATGAATAATTCTCTCTCTAACATATACAGTAGGATTATTTTTAAATGAAGATTAAATAAGTGAACGTTTTTTAATTGCTATTTTAAGTTTTAAGTTTAAGATCTACGTTTCTTATTTAAAAATAGAAATTGGTATTAAATACTACCAACTATTTATGGATCTTCTAAATTAATTTCTTAATTTAAGTGATAAAATAATTTATGTAAATTTTAATTTAACATTCTTAAATGTATAAGATTTTATTTTTTTAATTGAACAAATGTTTATGTAAATTTAACTTATAAAACTCTAAAATATGTTTATTGGAAAGTATGTAAGAGATTAGTAATAATGTATAAAAGAAATTGTAAAATAATAATCTGAAAATTGTTATGAGTGGGATTAAAAGCACAGTACATTGCATATATGACCAAAGAAACATATTTTTGCTTTTACTCAATTGTGGATAAACTAACATTTTTTGATTATATTAAATTATTAATATAAACTTAATTAAGAGTTAAAAACAAAACTACTTTATACGATTGCATAATATAATCGTAATAATCTGATATTGATCAGTCGATAAATTTTTTAATACGCAGAGTAAAATAACTTTTAATTTAAATTTGCGCGGCAATTCTTCAAGTTCGATTATACAATATTAAGAGGAATCGATATTTGAAAATATTCGAGTAATCGTCATATAATTTTAATAATAGAATCGTATTAAAGTTGTGATAACATTACGATCTCGTTGACGGGAGTGAATGTAAACAAAACAAAAGATCGCTAGATGTTCGACATTGAGAGGAGGTCGGTTTTCAGTTGTTTTTAATTTCACTGCGAGAGTATTTCTCAGATCTCCTTAAAATTTCCTTTTAATTTGCTTTTCTTTCTTTTCTTTTTCCATTTATTTTATTTTCATTTAATTTTTATAGATTCAGAAGAAAGTCTCCGTACGCAGCAACCTTTCCTCGTGATGAGACCCGGACAATCGATATTATTTGCGTTATAATAAAATCTCATATATAATTGTAAACAACGTAAGTATTATCGAACTAATGGCTGCTTTTCGATTAATATAATTTGAAAGAATTCTATAAAGATTCATTGTTCTAATTAGTTTAATTTCTACTACAGAGAATCATTTGTTTTAAATCGTTAATCGATAAGGCAGAGCACGATACGAAGAAGGTAAAATTTCTCCTTTTTTTTTTTAAATTAGTTTTTATATATAGTTATTGTTTAGCGTTTTTGTGTTATCTACTGTAGAATGTTACGTGAAGAGAACATATCATTAATAGCTTTGTAGTTTTCTGCTTTATCGAATTGTATCATTCAATACAAAGGTATATCTTTTCAGGTATATAAATGTTAAGGTTAATTTGACAAAGAACGGTTTATATATATATATATATATATATACACCTTGAAAGTATAAGGTTTAATGGCGCGAGGTAAGAAAATTTTTATGTGTACAAACTTATGTTCTAAATATGTTTATTACTTGATAACAAAATTAGTAGAGTGTACATAAAAATTGTAAAATAATAATCTGGAAATTGTTGTAAATTATACATTACAATGCATTAATGTGTTTATAGCACAAGTTAAAATTATTATATTATACAAAGGAATATCTTTGATTTCATTTAAATTCGAGTAAAAGTAACACATGATTAATACTGTGGAAGAATCAATCAAAAATTGAGTTGTACGTTCACAAACGTTCTTTTCAATCAGACGGAGATGACATCACAAACTAAACTGTTTTTGTATCAATTCGCTTAAATGCAGGTAATATAATAGAGTAATAAGTTTAATTATAAAATATATATATATATATATATATATATATATATATATATATATATATATATATATATATATATATATATATATATATATATATATATATATATATATATATATATATATATCTGTAATCTATAGAGATTTGCATAAAGTTAAAAACATCGATACATTTAATGAAGTTAATTCATGAATAATTCATTGATAATATAATAAAATAGAGAAGATAAATGATATATGATTTAAGCAAATTGATACATATATGTAGATATTTACAACTAATAATTCCAGATAATTGTGACGCTCTTGTTTGTTCAATGTAGTTGACTTAGAGCTTCCTTCATATTCCATGTTATATCACAATTAACAGTCCCTGGGTAATTCACCATAATAAGCCGTTAAAGCTATTAACTTTCTGTCAAGGAAGTTTTGTTCCACTTCTACGCCAGAACCTGCTCCAGCTAGCATAGCGATCTGTAATTATGATATAATCATATAGACATAATATATTTCAATCATAAATTGTTATTCCTTTATGTATAAAAATATAAAAAAAATTTATGTATAAATTTTACCTGCATGGTATCTACATTTCTCGGTAAAAAGTAGGCCACGTGATCCGTGATCTTTCTTGCTACTTTAAATACATGTATTCCACCGATCGGATGCATAATATTATCAAGATCGTAAGTTTCGTTCTTCACATAACTAGGTCCTCCCCAAGGTGGACTTAGAAAGACAACATCGGCTATTAATTTTGGTGCTATATCAAAGAAATTACCAAGAATAAATTCAATTCTGTCCTCAACGCCATAAATACGGGCATTATTTCGGGCAAGTTGTATTTTTATTGGATCAATATCAATGGCCAACACTGTAAAAACAAGTTAGATTGGTATATCCGTTTGGTTTATGTTGTTTCTTCGAATTTATACAAACCCCTTTCACATGTAAATGCAAATTGAATAGCATTTCCTCCTGCACCACAGAATGCATCTATAATCGTATCACATTTGCATCTTTCCGCTATATGCTCTGCTATCTTCTCTGGAGTTACAGAAAACCAGCTTTCTATCAAAATGAATGACTCAGATAAAATTAGTAAATTAAAATTTTATGACATAATAACTTAATTGTAAAACATTAATATTTTCAAATTTAACAATTTTTAAAAAATATTTACCGTGATCTAATTTGATGCCTTGATCAAATTTACTGAAGAGATGATATCTTCTTATCCAATATTTCATTAAAGTTTTGTCATTATTTATTTCTGCAGGAAGACTTATACTTCTTTTTGATTGTTTCCTCCTCTTTTTCTTTAACGTTTTTTTTATACTATCTTCGTCCGATAATTTTATATTTAATATCTCTGTGTGATGCTCTTTTTCATCAACATCCATATCAATATTTAAAGTAGATAATTTGTCCTCGTTTGGAGGAAGAAGTCTTTCATTAATCACTGGTTTTACAGAGTCGCTTTCTTCATCGCATTCACATTGTACGATATCATCAATTACTGTATCGTTAAAAATTTGATCTGATTCATTAGAATCTTTCCAAGTATTAAATATATTTTCAACTGATTTATCTTGTTTCAATTCTGACGAACTTGTACTTGGTTTATTAAACACTAGTCTTTTTGCTTGCAATTTTGTTTTAGGACTATGATCGCACTCTTCGTCAGAACTTGATGAAAATTGTGTTTTAGTATAGGAACCTTTGTCGTTAGATTGTGTTTCGGTTTCTGCAGGCTGTAATATTGGACAATACGATAAATAACGTTGTACCTATAAAAAAAAAAAACATGAAAAAAATATGTTATTTCATATTATTTTTAAACAATTTCTTATAAATCAATTGAAAAAATCTTACCTTGTCTATGGTATTTGTGATTTCAACTCCATTATCATCAAAATAAATGTGCTTGTTTATAGGTTTAGAGCGACTAACTTTCATTTTTAATTGTCTATTTTGTAATCTGATATTTCTTTTCCTATAAACAACCTCACCTTGTAACTTTGTTTGTTTTTGGCTTTCATTAAAAGTATAACCCATTAATGAAAAAGCTTTCTTTACTGTTTCTAAACCTTCTCCTACGTCGTCGTAATCAGCTTCATGGCTTGAAATTGTATAAATATGTATTTTTAAATATGTCTTAAATAGTCGTAAATATTTTATTAATATATGAATATACCTTCGTTTTAGTGTAGCAGGTCTGTCCTCATTTGGCTTATCTTTGTTATCATCGCTTGATATTTTTTGTATAAATTCACCATTATCAATAGTAGATGATAAAACCGCATTTTTTTCATTAGATATATTCATTATATCTTCCTTTGATAATTTTTCTGTATCGCTTGTTCTATTTATTTGATCTATAACCTCTTCTTCGGATTTCATTGTTAGACTTTGCATGAGCATACCAACTGATTCTATGATCATTCTTTTTTTATTTGATAATTCTTGTTTTGCTGGCGTATTTGTTACTGTATTTTTATCATCTATATTAATAATTTTATGCAATTGTTCAATATTACTTTCGGCAGATTTTTCTTCATCCAATCGATTATTATTACCACGCGTCCATATATTTTGACCATTAACCTCAAAAACTGAAGTAACATGATCAGTTTTTAGACTTTCTGTTTGTTTATATCTTATTACAAATAATTCGTATTGCTTTTGGTATTCTAATTGAAAATTTTCTTTCCATAAATGTTGCCAATATTTATCATTGTCCTCAGATACATACTCATTTTCTTGATCAGAACTACTAAATGTTATGTTACTTTCAATAGAGCTAGTTACAGAGCTAATAAGACTAGAAGAGTGAATAGAATTGGAATCACAACTAGAACTGGTTAATGTCATTTTAGTGACATTTGTCATAGAATCAGACGTTGCATTTGTCTTTGCTGTGGAACCATTGATAGAATCACATCTGGTTAATAGTCTTTCATCTTCTGCATTAGAATGTTGATTATAACTTTCCTCCGCACTAAATGGACTTAGTGGATTCCAACCATCACCTGCTTCTGGTGACAATTCATAATTTGTTAATTTTTTCCTATTTTCTTCTGCATCTTTATCGTTAACACTTGGTTTATTTGGATCTTCGAATGAAAAATTAATATTGTACGATGAATCTTTATTTTTCGATTCATTTTCTTCGTTGATGCTACTTTTACTGAAGATTCCTTCAAAATCTGAACGATCAATTTCACAATTTTTGTGCGCTTGATTAGGGAAACACGTATTTTGTTCCGAAAATTTGTCTATACCAACTTGTTTAATTTCATTGAGTTTTTCCTCTTCTCTTAAATGTAAATTGTCTTGAAGGTATTCAGGATTAATATATTCTGCATACTTTTCAATCCATGATGACCATATCAATTGTTCCCCATGTTTGTACCAGTACTTTTCCCAAGCCATATCCATTTCACTTTTATTACTTTTGAAGTACTTGGAATAGGAATAATCATCAGAACTATTTTTATAATTGTGCATAGAAGGGTCAGTTTCATGTTCATTTTTACTGGAGTTTTGTATATCATCTAATGCCGTAATATTTAAGGATAAAGGTTGTGCTATTGAATCTTTTTCTCCTAAAATAAATGACGAGGATTTGGTATGATACTTGGTTTTTATGCAATTAGAGGGATTACAGCTTAAGGCTGACGTGTCGTCGATACAAGAATTTTCAGAATCAACATTTAATGTTTCAGACTTGAGTTCTAAATCTCTGCTTTCGCGATACCTCATGAATGCTTCCGCATTATCAAACCCACTCTCAACTTCGTTCTCAGATGAATGAAAAGTTTTTCCATAAGAGGCTAAAAGATTTTGTATACTCTTAGCTTCGTGTTGATCATGATATTCTGATAAATCTGCACCAGAATCAGATTGGTGTAGACCTAATTTTTGTGTAAGACTATGTGCTGTGACACGATGGGCTGAGTCACGAACAGAATCATGTTCATCCGTAGAATAATTGTTGTCTGTATGTGATGCACTACAATAACAACTTACAGGCTCTTCCTAAAAAAAAGAAAGAAGAGAAAAAAAAAAAAAAAAAAAAAAAAAGAAAAAAAAGGGGGAAAAAAAAATAAACAAAAAAGAAAAAAGACAACAAAAATATGACTTGAATAAAGATTGTATAAATGCATTTGCAATTAGAAATATATTGATATAATGCAATGAAAATTGATAATATCGATTATCTTACATCGTGTTTCTCTACAGATTGTATTTCTGTGTTTGTTCTTTTATAGATATCCAACATTTCTCCCACACAATCTCTTTCAACATCCTCATTTTCGCTTGCATCTTCGGCAGTTTGGATGGTATAAACATCTGGATTTCTGCAAGTAAGGAAGGATAACATCACATTTATAATAGATGTTGGATAATAAAAAATTGCATTATATTTTATTACCATTTTATGTAGAATTCACTTGCTTGTTTCTTTCATAAAAATCATATAAATAACATAGCAGAACAAAAGGAAAATTCATAAAACATTTCATTGTGCTAACTTTAAAAGAATCGCTTCACTTGTTAGTCTTATAATATGTTTTTTTCAATAAAATTCATAAATATTTAAACATAATCTCTGTTATGATTTAGATTATATTATACATAAGTGGATGTCAAGGTTAAGTCATGTGTCACATCACAAATCAATATATAAGTAGACGTGGAGCTATTACTAGTACAAAAGAGGTATATTGAAGCATTTAAATTAAGGCAAAAAAGAAAAGAAAAGAAAAAGGAAAGATAATCTTGTAAAAAGAAGATTACATTTACCTGATAAACACTCTACTGCAAAGACAATAAATGTAACAATCGGGGTCAGGGGACTCCGCCTGTTCTGCTATATAAACTTCAGCTAAAGGTTCCCAAAAATGTTCGCACATACCGAAAATGTATAGTGATCTTTCATACAATAATAATTTATCACAACACCCATATGTCTCGCGCTTAGATCTTCATGACTTCTTTCTTGAAAAAACAATCCGCCATTCGTTCGGCAATGCTTCGTTGCAAACTTCAAGTTAGTGTTGCATTAAGATCGATTATCGATTTGTATTAAATTCAAATTTACTAAAAAGTTACGCATAGGAATACAATAATCAAACGTAAACGTTTTGTTAAATAAATATGTTGTTTCGTTAACTTTACACAGTTAACTTTTTTCACGATTTATTAACATCTTTCTGCGATTTCATAAATGTTTTATAGATATTAATTTAGATCGTTCTTTTGCGTTTTATTTTATCGAGAACTATTTGACGATATACGAATTTTTTTACAAGTTTTTCATGAAAACTAATTCAAGTAGATTATTATATTAACTCTCTCTCTCTCTCTCTCTCTCTCTCTCTCTCTCTCTCTCTCTCTCTCTCTCTCTCTCTCTCTCTCTCTCTCTCTCTCTCTCTCTCTCCCCCCCCCCCCCTCCCAGGCTATCTCGCAATATTTACTTGACAAGTAACACGTTTTAGTGTAAATATATTAATTATATTTTTTTGCAATAAAGCACAAGAATCTCTATTCTCATATTTTCTGCACGATACCTAATATTTAAAAGTATTCTTTAGATGTAATTATATCTATTATATACTTTTAATTTTAAATTTGTAACAATTAAAAATTACTTTGTAGATAATATGTTATCGATATGTTGTAATACCGTAATGTGGCGCACTCTGACAATTGATAAAAAAAGTTTCACTGACCTGTCGATAAGTTAACGGATAACTTATCGACAATGTAAAAATAATTTTTCTTTATATATTTTACGAAGGAATTTTTTATATTAAAATGAGAGCAGAAGGTGAGTTATATAAATTCGAATATGCTTTTAAAAGCTTTGTTAATTTAAGTAACTATTACTACAAACATTTCGTGAAAAAAGACGAAAACATTATAAAATGTAATACTTTTAAATGGCTCCAGATAGAGATTTTTGTATACATTCTTGTTTGAATGTTGCCTACTATCAGGGCTATATTATTAAAGTTCTATAATCGATCGTAATTTTTCGACAATAATTTGTTAACTCGCGCTATAATATATATCTTGAATACAAATTTTTATTAGTGAAATAAAATCAATTAACGATTACTTTTTTATTTACTTAGGGATGTTAAGTTAGGAACTTTTAATTTCTCTTTGAATAATGATACGCATATTAGTATTTGTGCATGATACACTTACTAACATATCGAAAATGATTTCTTTACCCGACAGATGACGCCATCTCGAGGAATTCTAGGGATTCTGCGAAAGACGAAAGGAGCAATGGCGTAGGCGGCGATTCACGTGATAAATTAATTTTTATTGCTTCGTGGGTGGCGGCTCTTTCTATTGGTCGATGATCGGGCACCTCCTACTCCATACGACGAAGTCTTCTTTGCTTTTATTCTCCTCCGTTATGATAGTGACGCATGCAAGTTGGTGTCTCTTCTAAAGAAACGAGTAAGGATATAAAAGGAACGCGTACCTATGGATTCTCAAAGTCAAAGAAGAAATTTGTCCTATCCTTTTCAAGTTTTCATCATCGTTATATTTTTTCATTATAGATTTTAATACACAAGCACCTTTGTATTATTTCCTGTACGTCAAGTTTTTTTTTTAATATTGTTCAGCATTCAGAAATTTCCCTGCCTAAAATATAGTTTGAACATTTGGAAACTTGTAAAAACATCCTATCACTATTATTAATATTATTTACGACATATACTTTTCAGAGTTTAGAGGAAGTATGATTATTCTCGTTCTTTGGCGAATCAACATTTATTTCTCTTTACATAATCGAAATAGAAACGAACGATCAAAGTCTTAAGTAGTAGTCGACGTCAATTCTTTCATGTGAAATCAAATCGTAGTATTGTGATTCCGCGTGGGAAATGCCGAGCGCGTAAATTCACGTGGAAGGATTATCGGTAAAAGGAAAGAATAATGATAAAAAAAAAAAGAAATAAAAGAAAAGGAAAGATTTTTAAGAACGGTGATACATCTTTTCCTCTTAGCGAATATACATACACATATACATACCTACATATATATATATACATATAGACGTATATGGATATATCGCAGATGCGTTTATAGGTAGGTAGAAGGTCGAAGTTAGTGAATCCGTGAGGAAAAGGAGGAGGATGAAGGAGGAATATAGGCGCATACGTGTGTTGTCGTCTCTTTGCTTGACTAGGCTCGGCTCGGCTCGGTTCGGTTTGGTTCGGTTCGCGCTCCTCCCGCGCTTACAGAAAAGAGCAGTTTGTACTCGAGCTGCCAGAGGAAAGAGGGGAGGACAGGAGGAGGAGGAGAAGAAGAAGAAGAAGAAGAAGAAGAAGAAGAAGAAGAAGATAGGTAAGGCTGTTAAGAGCGATAAAGATAGAGACGATTCGTTGGCGGTGAGACTGGTGGTTGATAGAGAAAGAGAGAAAAAGTACCAATGTATGCGAGAAAGAGAGAATCGAAGAGATGCCAGGATTCGCGGCTCCTACGCAGGTGGAGATGGATGCTGTACGGGGATATCCATAGTGTACGTGCGAGAGAGCGAGAAAAGGCTAGAGAGAGAGATGGAGATAGAGAGAAAGAGAGAGAGAGAGAGAGAGAGAGAGAGAGAGAGAGAGAGAGAGAAGTGCGAGATGAGAGGGGAGACGTGATCTTCGGATCCTCGTTGAGTGTTGTGGAAGGGAGAGAGAATGAAGGAAGAGAGGAGGAAGGAAGAAAGGAAGGGAGAATGAAGGAAGGAAAGAAAGAAAGAAAGAAGAGAATGAAGGAAGAAAGAGTGAGAGAGAGGGAGGGAGGGAGAGAGAGAGAGAGAGAGAGGGCAGAGGTAGTCTTTCTCGGTCGAGTAGGTAAGATAAGGACGAGGCGGACAAACGGACTGACGAAGAGTATCCAAGGTAGGGATATTCAGTCTCTCGGCCACGTGCTACACGAGCGCACGCCCCGAGCCGGCCGGTGGTCCAGACACGACGTTTCCTTCGTCCTTTCTTCTTCGCCCCTGTTGTATCCAACATTTCTTCTTCCTCTCTCTCTCTCTCTCTTTCTCTCTCTCTCTCTTACTCCCTCTTTCTCTCTCTCTCTTGCTCTCCTTTTTTTGTTCGTCTTATCATATCCCCCTCTCTCTCTCTCTCTCCCTCTCTCTCTCTCTCTCTATCTATTTATGTATCTTTTCCAACTTTGTTTCCTTTTGCTCTCGTCTATCATCATCTCTTTCCTATAAACGATCCGAGATGTATTTCGAATCGAGAAGTACATATATCTCGGTGTGCTTCGATTGAATCATGTATTATTGAGGATACTACAAGGATCTGTGTGAAATACTCAAAGAGGGAAAGAGAGAGAGAGAGAGAGAGAGAGAGAGGGGGGAGAACTATTATCAACAAGTGCCAAGAGAAATTATCAAACGTCGAAGTGTCTCTTAGTGACCTTGAAAGATTTGCGAGCGTGTCGATGTATCGTCGACATTGTGTTTAAGGAATTAAGAAGGAAGGAAGGAAGGAAGTCGTCCTGTTAAGAAGTTTGCAAGATATTTCTCTCGTTGACGGTACGTAATCGAGTGATACGTCATTCGATCGAATTTTACGGGAAGGAGGATCGATCGACCGATCGATCGATTAATGAGAAATCAGCGAAAAACGCGAGGGAAAGGTGGGGTATGGGGTTATGAGAGGGGATGAGCGGAGGAGGGTGAAGGATAGTGATGGTCAGTATTATCTGGGAGGATATGTAGGAACGAAAAAGCGTCCTCGGACTAAGCGGCACAGACGATTAATTTGTCACGTCGGTCCTGGCACAAACGATTTAAACTGTCAGTCGGCAGGATGATATCCGAATGACGTGCCGCTCGCAACCGGTTCATTAAAGTTGCAGTTGACGTACCGATTGGCCGTCACTCATTGGTCCGCCACGGATTGGTAGCGCGAGGGGAAGATCTTGATAAAAAACGAACGCCTTAAAAACACCTACCTACCTACGGGCGACGCTTTTGATGCGAGTGGATTTCACCGATCAGTCATTATCGCCGTCGCGAGGAGCTCACCGTTCGATCTTTACAAGGATAAAAGACGAGAGAGAGAGAGATAGAGATAGAGAGAGAGAGAGAGAGAGAGAACATCGTTAAGAATCTTCGATCGTTAATAACCGAGTGATTATTTCGCTGTTAGTGGGAGGGAGAGCGAAGGGATTACGGGATAAAGAGAAGAAGTAGTATGTAAGTAGGTACCTACTTACTTACACGCGTACGCGTGATTTCGTTCGTAAAATCAATTCTCGATACGTGATTTCATTCGTTTTTATTCGATATCAAGTTGATTGGAGGATTTACGAGGAATTTCGATGATATTGGTGACGATTTTATTATTAGTTAGATAGTTTATCTGACACGTAAATAGTGTTGATTTATTTGTATGATAAAGTCATTTTGCGAATCTGTTAATAGTCCGACGTCCAATGACGGAAATGATGAAAATGGTACACGTTTTAAAACTTTAAGATATCGTCATTATCGATTCTATTAATTGATAAGAGGAGAATGATTAAAGGAGACTGGGGGGGGGGGGGACAAGATAATTACATAGTAATTTTCTAATGATAATTATCACTTGACGTAGTATGTATCTAATTTTGTAAAAGAAATGTGGAAATTAGGAATGTCTCGCGTTTCGATATACCTCGATATAACTCGTTTCAAAGTGATATAACATGGTGAACGTAAATTGATCATGCACAAGGAGCGAGTGTTCGATAAAAATCGCGTAAAAGATCGCGCACGAGTATTTCTTGTCTAACGCGTAATATCGTTCCATCGTTGCGATCGTCGATTAAATCGGCACGTTATGTTTGCGACATAGCACGAGCGAATTAATCCGTAGAACTAAGGATTTAGTAGTCCTCTGGCAAGGCGACGGTGTACACCTATCGAACCGGTCTTCCACGGATTGGAAGATACGACTTCTAATTAGTCGTTAGTTAAACGCGCGCCGATGTTAATCGTCGCGTTTGTGATCTTCGAAAATTTCGAAATCAATGCAAATTCTTCTCCGCGTCGTGTCTTTTATTTTTTTGTTTCTTTCTCTTTTTTTTTTTGGGTGGGTATCGAATTTCGATCATCGCATAATCAAAAGATAAAATTAGAAGGACGAGAAAATCAAGCTCGAAACATTCAAATGGAATTCGCGTAATCGCGAAATAACGTGTACGATGATCTTCAATATTTCAATGGCATTTGATGGTCTCCGTCAATTTTAATTTCAACGAAACGTATATTTTCTTTTTAGTTCGGTCCACATGCCAAGCAAGAGACAAAGAGATAAACCACGGGGGGAGGTACTAGCAAGCTCAGAGAATTATCGTGGAAAAGAGATAGCGTCGTAAGGAAAGAGAAGAAGAACAAGAGAAACAGGAAGAAGAAGAAGAAGAAGAAGAAGAAGAAGAAGAAGAAGAAAAGGAAGAAGGGAGGAAAAAAATGTTGATACGAAATTTCGTAGGAAGAACGGAGGACGAATCTTGCGATCGGCAAGCAGGAGGTTTTGCATCGAAGGATTAAAGGACATCGAATGGACGTGGGTGATATATCGAGCTCGATAGGATTATCTGGGAGCGGATCCAATCCCGGAAATACGAGTGTTGGTGTTATCGCGAATACAACATCCAGTAGCAATACCGTAGGGTGGTGGACGCCTACGTCGAGCATCGCTTCGGCACCGGCCACCACCGACGTGGTGAGTCTCTTTTTTTTTATCTTCTAATATTTTTACTCATCAATCATCCCATACTAAATGAGAATTAACACATTGCCTAAAATAAAATATATTATAAATGTGTCTTATTTTGTACGTACCTTAATCGAGATCATTCGACAAGGTTTTAACTATTTATTTAACACTTAACACTTAAATATTTGGCGCGATAAAGATGAGGTCAAATAATATAACGCACGTTTAATAAAATCATTTAATGTAAATTAATTATTTTCTGATTTGTTGAAAATACATCGATATAAAGAATATATATAATAGTATTATGATTATTATTGTTAATAATTACTTTATTACACGAACGAAGACAATCTATTATTTTGAAATAAAAATTAAAATGTATGAGGGGAAAATAAAAACGTACTGATGTACGATCACTTTTTAGGTGTAATAAACAAAAGCACGCATTAACGCGTAAACGGGTATTTAAGTGTTAATATGGTTTCGTAATTTCTCTTATATTTTTATTTGTGAATATTAATATGTATCTGTCTATCCATATATGATTTAATGGAAAGAAACAGAGGTAGAGAGAAAGGTGGAGAGAGAGAGAGAGAGAGAGAGAGAGAGAGAGAGTAGACGGGAAAGGCCACCAAGGAGACACGAGACACGAGAACATTTATTTAGTTCCGTTGGGTCGTGGCGCGTCAGGCTGCAGGGATTAGATCCGAGGTGACACAGCCGCGTCATCTGTTGGACGTTGAACCTTTTTTACTTTTCTCTTCGCGTCTTCTATGCCTCGCGCTTCACTGTCGTTTCCATCAGGTGTCATCAAGCACCTCCCTTCTTATTCTACAAGTTCGGTGACGTGGTATGTGTGAAAGTGTATATGCACTGTTCGTTCGTTCGAGCATCCGTATACCGATAATAACGAACAGCAACAGTGTGTTCTTATATAAGTTGTACCTTAGGTTATATCCGTTGAACAGAAGTTACAATAGAATCTCAATTTCGTTTGCAAGTTGTTTATATCGTTTGTAACGTACAAACCGTTCTCAGAGTACATTCTCTATTAAGCGTCGAGCATTGGCAAAATTTTTATGGCGTTGACAAAAAAGAAGAAAAAAAGACAAAAGAAAAAAAACAAGAAAACAAACTCCTTAAACTTTTTAAAAGAATACCATCCGGTATCTACCTGAAGCTAGAATTTTTTTTTTCTTTTTTTTTTATATGGATAATCCACGATATGGTCATCGTAAAACACTCGGTCGCTAAGGGTTACTCTC